CCCTCTGCCTGCCTCTCTGCCTACTTGCTCTCTCTCTGTATCTCTCTGCCAAATAAATAAAATCTTAAAAAAAAAAAAATCAGAAATAACTCCAATTAATTTTTTTAGACTTCATGACAAGCTTTTTCTTACATACTTGATAAAAAAAAGTATATTTGCTAAGAAATAATGGACTGAACAGCTAAGAAACAATTTGGTTTTACTAGTAGGTGGTAGAAAATAGTAAACATTTTGTAAGATGAAATAAGAGGACTGATTGTAATAGGAATATTTTTATATGAATGGAAAAAACAATGCCTCCCTCCTGTTCCCCAGGTTTTTATATCCTGGGCCATGGATGAAGATTCAGTGTAGGTGAGGGATATGCCTTTCTTTTGTAAAGTAGGACAAAGACTATGCTGAAAGAGGAGGTGGAATGGAGTGTGCCTAAGTATCCCGGCTGGTTCCCAAACAGATTCATTTGGGGGAAGATTTCTAATAGAAGTTGAGGATCTGGAAACTTATTTCCTTAAAATGCCCCTCAGATTGATTTCCTTGCCTAGTATCTCTTGGAACGTCTTCACATAACCTTGGAAAGAGTTCCTTGGGATGTCTTCATGTGCCCTGTTTTATAAAGACTGATATAAGCAGACTCAACTCTACTGGCCCTGATTATACATTAATCAGGGACAACATCACAAATGTCCTAGGAAGAAGGTGGAAGACTTGCTGTTTTGGAATAAAAGAGGGTTAAGAGATAAGTCAGAGAGGATGGCCCCAAGCTGATGTAGTCATAATAGTCCTGTATTGGTCCTTGGCTTTGCAGTTCTAGAAACGTGATTTTGTCAGCCCACCAAAGTGTTCATGTTTTGTCACACTAAATCAAACTTACAGGAAGTTAATATATAAAATGGAAGGCCAGTGAATTAATATATACTCATAGCCACCAGGTAGACTAGATTTTCTCTCCTGTTGAGAAGTGAATGTGGAAAGATCAGTTGTAATCAGAATCTTACCTGAGGAGTATGGGTCTTGAGTATGGCTATTATTATCAAGCTGTGATAGCCTGATGCACGATGCAGGGCACCTAACAGGAGCTCAGTAATTGAGAAATGAATGCACCTATCCTTTATAGATGCTAACAAGGAAGTTTAGGATTCTCGTAGGCCAACTCAACATATTTTTTGATCAGGTAGATTTTGCCTTGTTTCTCTTAAATTGCTATATCATTTGGATATTAAATCCAATAAAATTTTATGTCAGGGAATTACATAATTGTAACAAGTTTTATCTATCATCTCTGAGCCTAGAAATTGGGACTGTTCATTTGTAAGAGACTGGAGATTGTGTTCCTGTGTCCTATGGTAGTAATGGTCATAGTGGCTGAATGATATTTCAGAATTCTGTTGGGTGGCCAAGAGTGTACTACCTTGGGTACCTCTCAGTGCTGGTATTTTGCTAGAGTGGGACATCTTAATTAGGGAGTCTGTGGACTGGCTAGATTTGGGGAACTGTACTATAGTGAGGAGAAACCATACCCTAAACTTCCCCTACTCCCTAGATCCCCCGTAGGGGATAATTCTTGATACTGCCTTTAAAAATAGAGAGACAAGCCTTTTCAGATTCCAAAATCATTAGGAATAAGATGGATACATGAGACAATTTTGTAAGTCCTATCTGAAAGCCAGAAGACACTTTGTTTCCAGCTCTAGAATAAACTATTGACACAGAGGAATAGATGCCAGGCCAAGGAGTTTCATTTAGTATTTTAATAATAATAATAAAAAAAGACAATACAAAATCCAAACATTTCTTTTTACAAGTTCAGGTACATTTTTTTCCCCAAGTGCAAAATACTCTATGAACTGCATCATTTACTGTTTATTGTTGATTGTGTAGGAGATACTTACTATATTGGCAGCAGTGGAAGGCAGATATAAATACAACATTTTGAGATTCTTTTTCTGCATTAAAAAAAGCCTCCCACATGGTAATGATTATTCTCTGAAACTTCAGTTTAACTCACATAGAAGAATAAAGTTTTCAGTTTGTCCAAACTGCTACAATGTGTTGTCTAGATAAGCTGATAACAGAACTGGGGGTTCTATTCTCTCTAATCATATATTTTCTTAAAGGGTTCCTAGTCCAAATAATGGCCCAAGGACAGGGTGTGCTATCTTTGAGACAGGTCCGATTTAAAGATATCCTTGTGTTGTTTGCTTCCACTTTTGTGCTTTAGAAAGAAGCCAAGCAGGTTAACATTATTTTCTGCTTATGGTCAGTTATACTTTGTCTCCCTCCCCCTAGTGTGAGCCTGTTATATTGAGGTTAAGCAGCAAATAACAAAGTTTGAATGCTCTATGTTTTCTGACATTTTGAGATATGACCTGTCAGTCCACTACAGAGTCCCCTCACACATGCCTATGGAGAACACTTCTCAGATACAAAAATTTCATTAGGGCCAGAGACCAGGGCTGTATTACTGAACTTGCAGTAACAAATCTGAGCCTCCATTACCTCAAACTAACCCAATCCTCAGGAAGTCAGAGCAGTCACAGCTCAGTGTCTTCTTCTGGGGATTTATAGGCCTGTGGTAGGGCAGCTCAAGTCCGGGCTCTGGTCAGTTTTCTCCTGACTAAGAGTTCCCTCGGGTTTAGGGAATGGACCTGGCCTAGTAATACAGAAAGAGGGAGGCAGAGAAGTAAAAAGGGATTGCCATGTTGCTGAGGATTTAAGTGCCTTTCTGATGTGCATTACTTGGTGCTCAGAGTCCTTGCAGAAATGGCTTCCCATTCCCAGACTCAGATCAGGGCAGGTTTTGTACTAAGAGAAATGAAGCCTCACAGTACTGTGGCCCTGTAAACACCCCCATCCTGCAGAGAGGCCTTGGGACTGTTCATGAAGGGTTCCCATTTACACCATCTACTTCCTTCCTTACACTGGTAAAAACCTTTTTTTCTGTCTGACCTGTAAAAGGCCTGGAGAGTCCCTGAGTGTTGACTCCTCATTCAGTCTACTTAACCCCTGGTTTGATGCCCCAAGACTGGCTTCCTCCATATGTTCAGCAGTAGCTTTGCCTGGATTGTTAACCCCCTACTTGGACGACCTAAACTAATCATGGTGGACATTAGCAGGTCTTTACCTGCTCACCAAGATCTGTTTTGACATCAGTTAAGAAGCCTAGTGGTCTATACTTTCCATACTGTGGAAACCACTCGCAGTTTCCAGAAACCATGGAATAAATTATTGGAGGAAATATGTTTATGTGTATGTATGGGGTGACAGGAAAGGAAGAGAGCAAGGAGAAGCCAGACCCTGAAGGCCTAGTTGGGAAGTACTCTGCTTAGCTTTCTAAGAGAGATGCAATGGTAGGGAGAGAATCAGAAAGTTATCCTAGCTTCTGGTGGAGAATGAGGATGGTCAGAGTGGATTAAAGCAGTTTCCATGGCATTTCCTGGGAAGTGTGGATACTTCTATTAAATGACCATTTTCTTGTATGGAAGCAGCCATGTTGTATGTTTATAGCAGAGCCCTCTCTGACTAAGAGAGACACAGGAAGCCAGATACTCTACTGCCAAGGGCCTGGGTGTTCGCTAATGGAAGTTGGGGGAACTAGCTTTGACCTTGGCTACCTACTGCCTAAGGCTATCTTTGGCTGGTGAATGCTACTGATTAGGGAGTGAGGGGATGGTGCAAGCTTCTTTATGTAGTGTCGACTCTCCTGGGGGAGCAATAACCTGGGACAGTCACTTAGAAATGAACCCTAGGAGTTAATTGGTAGCCTTTGATTGAATAGAACTACAGCTTTGGGGGAAATAAAAGGAGCAAATGGAAAATAAATTTATAGGCAGCAGTGGAATGAGGGTAGAATGTGTGCAGGATGTGGGCTTGGGCATGGGCTTGATTCTTCCTTTTGAAAAGCAGTAGTGGAGGAAGCTAGGCTTGAAGTCAACTCCTAGAGGGAATGGCAAACAGGTAGGGGTAGGCAGAGTGGCCAAGGTCAGACAAACTTCATGCCTGGATAACTGTCCTATTCTTGGTTCCCATAGCCTTGTCTCTGGCCTCAGGGCCCTGAGTCAGCCCATCTCCAGGGGGTTTGTCCTGATGCTCTTCCATGTATACACCAGGGGAAAACAGGATGAAGGCAGGGAAGAGATGGAGGCTTTCCCTACTTGGGAGTGGAGAATCACTGACCGATTCTATCAGCCTCTACAGTCGTGAGGTCCATGCTGAATCCATAGAGAGGCATAGGGATGGCAGGATTGGATTAGCAAACACAGGTCCCTCTCCTTCCTGCTCCATCAAGTCCCAGAATTACTCTCCTACACATCAGGTGCCTCTGAGCTACAGTTTTGGGTTCCCCCAGCTGAGGGCTCCAGAGGTCTGGATGGCCACTGGTTGGGGAGCAGAGACAGATCAGATGCTCTAGCACTCAAGGTTCATGAGATTCAAAACCTTTTTTCTTCCACTTCAAACATACACTCTTCTCTCTTGGGCAGCTATAAATAGGTTTGTTCTAATAGAGGAAAAAAGAAAAACAAAAAACAAAACCAGAAAACAAAAACCCCTCCCTCTAGACAACATAGGAAGACTCAAAATGATTGCACTTATTAGATGTGGACAGGGTGGGCAGAAGGCTCGCCAAGTGTGCACACATTCCTCTTGCTGCCCACAACCTGGGGCCAGAGGTAGGTGGCTCTGGGCTGGCTGCAGAGCAGGGTCCTCTTTGGTGGAGCCCACAAGCCATCTGGGGCTACAAGGGAAAGACAAGTCTGGGGCAAGGCCCAGGCTGGCTTCTGGTCAGCAGCCATGTTTCTTTAAGGACAACACTTAGCAAGGGGAGTAGGGCTCCCCCAGGGAGCACTCAGGTCGGGGTGAGGAGATGGCTGGGCCAGGAAGACAAGAAAGGGGATTAGTGTTTGAGGCTGGCTTCCAATTGTTCTGTAGTCTAGTCCTTTAGATGATACATTTTCTTTCTTTCTTTCTTTCTCTCTTTCTTCTTTTTTTTCTTTTTTCTTTTCTTTTTTTTTTTTTTTTGGTGATGCTTTAAAACCTGGTTTCTGTCCTGCAGAGCTATAGTCTTTCTGTTGGGGGGTGACAGCGGCACATTCAACATGGTAATGCCTGCTGCTCTTCCTCATTCAGCTGCTGTCCACTAGCCCAGTGCTATGGGCCTTTTGTAAGCCCTCATGGATTGGACCCCAAGCAGACGTGGGGGAAGAAGGAGAGAAGCTATATAGACAAGAAAGCCAGCTGAGTGGACAGTCCAGGGCTCGAACCACGTGCCCCAGAGGACCAGTGCTGGCATTAAGCCTGTAAGTCAAAGGCTTCTTTGGCAGAACCCTGGGTTGTTAGAATCACCCTGGGGGGCACAGCCAGGGGACGTTTGGCTCCTGACTAGCAAGGCACAACCCTAAAATGGCAGAAGCCCTTCTTCCCCCGCCCCATTCCCCACTTCTTTCATGGGCCTCTAGCACCCTCCCAAGCTGATGGAGGCCAAGGATGTGAGCTAGTAAAATGGGCAGTGTGGCCGGGAAGGGGAAGGGGACACTGTTCTTTTACCCCTCAGGGGAAACAGAGCCAGCGCTTAAATGGCTTTTCCAGGTAGCCTGTAGGAAAGGAGACCACAGTAAGAGAGAGGGAGAAAGAGAGAGGCAGAGACAGGAAAGGAAGCTAGAGAGACAGAAAGAAAGAGTGCTTTGTCTATAGTGATTTTTTTTTTCCTCCAAAAAGAAAGAGAGGAAAGAGTTCCTCATCTGGGGGTGGGGGCTGCCGGCTCTGAGGGCTAAGGAGTTTGGGGGCTTTAAAACCTGGGTCTTGGGCTTAGGGGCACTATTTGTAGGGCCTCAGGAAGCTGGAAACTTTGGAGCGGAGTAGCTTGATGAAGGATTTTGGCAGCATCTCCTTGTGCTTCTCTGTGTACTTGAAGTAGTTCTGGGGGTGGGCCAGCACCTCAAAGAAGGCCTTGATGAGCTTCTTGTCCTGCAAGGGGTGGCAGGTGGCAATGTCAGCCTCAGCGTTGGGGTGGGAAAGAGGGACACCAGCCTTGACTCAGAAGCAGCCCCTCCTGATGTTGAGTAGGCATGCCCAGAGGTGAACTCTGGATTTCCATCCCACCATCTGTTCCTCCTTTAGAATCCTACAACTCCGTCATTGGCAGCGCCATCCTTCCCTTGCTCATGTCCCAGTCCTTGGAGTCATCCTTGACTCCTCTCTCTTGCCCACAACCACAGCAAATCCTGTTGATTCCACCTTCAAAATATATCTGGGGTCTGACCGTTTCCTACAGCCTCCACAGCTACCACCCTGTCCAGGCCACCATCATCTCTCACTTGGACAACTTGCAATAGCCTCCTACCCTGCTTCCTTGCTCCTTGCTCCTTGCTCCCATCTACCCTTGTCCCTCTATAGACTGTTCTCCCCCACAGCAGCCAGAGTGACTTTTTTGGTTTTTAACTAGATCATGTCCTTTTGCTATTGAAAACACTTCTCTGGTTTCTTTTTTCATTCAATAAAGCCCAGTCCCTTCCATGGCCCATGGGCTGAAAGTGATCTGTACCCTGCTGTCTGTCCTCTAGTGCCCCTTGACTTTCTTACTCTGCTGAGCTCTCCTGGCTTCAGGGTTCTCAAACATGCCGCACAACTCCCATGCTTCTCAGCTTAAAATGCTCCTTTCCTGATCTTCTAATGGGTGGCCCTTTACCTCATTCAGGTCTCTTCTCAGAGGCCTTTCCTGACCATTCTGTCTGAAACAGCAACATGGCGTGTGGAGAGCCTACTAGGTGCCAGACACTGTGCACTGAGACTCAGGTCTTCTGGCTTCTAGGCTAGTATTCTTCCTATGGCATCAGCAGATTTTAAAATAAGAGGCGGGGCTTCCGGCCCCTCATCCCCACTACTTTATGCATTGGAGTTCCACAGCACATCTGAAATAAGGGTTCAGATGCTTTAAAACATGTTCAAAAAGCACTGCTGAAATGATTTTCTTTGTAGTCTGCAAGTTCTAGGAGATTTTTGTCATTGTGTCTCTTATTTTGATGATAATGCAAAAATGATTTTAGGAACCATAAAGATAAAATTTGTTCTTGCATTGATAATTTATGAAGGATAATACTGTTGCTAGGACTGTAGCTTCCCAAGTAAGATTTTCTCAAACAGATCCACAGACCCTGGGGGGTCTAGTTCGTTCTTTAACGTTGGTAACATTTCTTTTCCTTTAAAACAGGTTATGCTGAATTAACTCTGAGAAACACTGTGCTAGATCTGCTCCTTTTCTGTGGGAACTGAGAAGGGAGGCAGGGAAGGGAGGGTAAGATGCAGAAGCATCTTTCTGTACCTCGTTTCCCCCCTATTTCTTGGTACAAGCCGTAGGGGACATTTCATCTCCTCATCTTCTCTTCCTCTTCCCCCACAGTGTAAGGTACTGTGAAGGACCCTGCAGTCAGATGGGCTTGGACGCACTGGGCAAGTTCTGTAACTCTGTGCCTTAGTCTTCTTATGTGTAAAGTGGGAATGATGAAAGTACCTATTTCATAGAGCTCTTGTGTATATCAAATGAGGAGATTCCTGTAAGCCCCCAGCCTACTGCCTGCACATTGTAACATGCTCATTAAATGCTGGCTGTTCTTATTGCTGTGCTTGTTCACTTGCCTTTAAAATCTCCTGGTGGTTTTCAGACGCATAGAGCCGGCCATCTCGAACAATGTCTTCTACTAGCTGCTCATAGTCCTCTGCAAAATCAACCAACGGGAGGAGTTTACGAGTGGAAACTCTTCCTGCTCCCCCTGCTCCCTCCTAAGACTCATGAGCCCCGCCTTTCTCACCCACCTCCCTGGCATTCCTGCCCTTGCTCACCATCATAGGTAACATAGGGGATCTGGAAGCCACGAGCGCTGTTGGCCTCGCTTGTCTTAAAGTTGATCCAGAGCTTCCTGGAGCGGGCCGTGAAAGCAATGGGCCGCTCGTAGGTCTGGCAGGTCTCATAGGTAGTGATGGAGGATGGGGAGGCTGGGAAGGCAAGCAGCAGGTCAGGAGAGCAGCAGGGCAGGCTACCCAAGCCCTCGTGGAGGAGGGCCTTGGGGGCAAGGAGTCATGCTGACAGAGGCTCTCCCCCGTGCATGTACCTCCCCCACCCCCAGCATACACATATCCTCTCCCACTGCCCTCCGCTTGTTCCACAACTCCTCTTTGATGTCCAGGCACTCACAAGAGTGTAAGAAATTTGACATTTAAATGAATGGAACAGCAAAAATGCTAGAACAGGAAAGTGACATGTGTAACACTATTGGAGTTCTAATCCCAATGCTGGCTTTCTTAACTCTGCTCTCCACCAAACAAAGAGCATTCATTGCTGTTTTCCTTTGTTAGCCTCTCTCCTCCCAAGGCCTCCCTTCTCACTGCCCCAGTTCTTCCTGTACCCATCTTCTCTCTCTCTCCCTCCCAACCAGATTTGCCCTTCCCTGGCCCAGCTTTGCAGCCACCCACAGTTCTTTCTCATGACGAGGACGTCTCCACACTCATCCTCAGATGGCAGGAAGATCTCGGGTACCACGATAAGGATCTTGCGCTTGGGTGGGGGGTTGATGTTCCAGATGCACTCCACGCCAGCTGGGTAGTTGCCCGGGTAGTTGGGGGACTCGATGTAGCCAGTGAACTCACCCAGCTCCCCACCACACTGGCGATCTGTATGCAAACCCAGGCACAAGAAAGAGAACAAGAAAGAGAAGGGAAGTCAATGGGGAAATGGGTTAGGGATATTGAAGCGTTTTGAAGTGGAAATCAGACACATGTAGATAGCCGCCTTCCTGGTTCATCATCTCTTCTCCAAGTTCTGGGTCCACCTTCCTTCCCGCCCTTTTAGTACCTTCTCATCTCACTTCACCTCTCTGTCTCCCCATCACCTGTGTCCAGGGAGAGAGTGCCATGGGGCCCAGCCCAGCAGCAGTCTTGGGATTGAGGGGGTTGGGAGAGGTGGAGGGTGGGACTTTGGTGCCCACCCACTCCCTAGCCTTGCTCCCTGTGGGTTTACTTATCCCACCCCCAACCTCTTCTCATGGCCATTGTTCCCAGGCCTCTCTACCCCCTTTCCCACTGCCTGGCCTGCCACATACTCTTGCACTGGGCCACGCTGGTGGAGCCATCAAAGTCAGTGCTCGTGTTTCCTGGACAGCGGGTGCAGAAGTTCTGACGGAAGTCGGGCTGATAGGAGCCCATGGCACAGCGGATACAGCGATGGATGCTGGTGTTGTAGTAGTGACCAGGGGAGCACTGGACTGCAGGCAAGGGGGAAAGGTAGGAGTTAAGATGGCAGGCAAGTGGGAGTTCTGGGGCCTGGGATGAGCAGGACATATTCATCGTGGAGAAGCAGGGGACTGAAGACACCCAAGTTCCTTCCAAAGTCCTAGCCTTTCCTAGTCATGCCAGAATTTAAGCCTAGGGAAAAACAAACTTGACAGACTGGTCGGCTACTGTGCCAATCCTTTTCTTTAAGGCACTGAGCATCGTGCCAAACCTATAGAAACTTATTTGTAGTATTGAAGGGAATGTGCTACCCATTCTCCAAAGCAGAGGAGTAAATGAGACTGTTATTTACTCCCTAATTCCTGGACTTGGGACTGGTGAGGGTCAGGATGCGTCCTCTGAGCAGGATGGTATGGTTGGTCAGGCAGCTGGGCCTTTCCCAGTCTGGGGAAGATGGTGGGGCAACATACTTAGGTTTACTCTGAGGACTTGGAGAGTTTTTGGAAGTAGTTCAAGTTGGGGAGTCTCCGAGTGAGTAGCCCATTCACCTTTGGTGTCACAGTCTTGGAAGGAGATGGCCCCCTCATGCTTGGTGGTGAGGCCCCCACCACATGGGAAGCACAAGGTCCGTCCTGCTTCAGGTTGGTAGGTGCCCCGTGGACATGGCTGGCAGGGCTTGAACCCGTCTACAGAGTACTGGCCAGGTGAGCACTGACCTGCAATGAATCAAGGGCCCAGTTCTGATGGGGATGGTCCTGGTCATCCCCACGGGATTACCCAGTCTCAGGGACAGAGGCACACAAACAGCATGTTGACGAGGAGAGTGGTCTGGAGCCTGGACCTGCCCTTGGGAAATCCCATGCCCATGGGCGTCCCAGTGCCCACCCTTCCCCACTCTGTATTGTTTGTTCCCCTGGCACCTGCACATGTGGTGATGTTGGTGGCTCCGAGAGGCCCGTGGGCATCACTCCCAGGGCAAAGGTCGCAGGAGAGCTGCCCTTCTCTCTCCTGGAAGGTGCCCGCTGGGCATGGCACACACTGCTCCATCTGGCCGTGGTAATACGTTCCCTGCGGGCAGCTGACTGAGGGAGAGTCGGCCGTGCTAGCCACCCCCCCCCCCAACCCCCCCCCCCCCGCCTATTTCCCACCACCCAGGCCTCGGATTCCCCTTCCCGCCGGCCCCCCCCACCCCCCACAGATTCAAGGAGAATCTCTTTGTCTGGGAGGAGACAGAATCCTGCTTGGGAAGACCAGGGGCCAAAGCCACATACAGGAGGGTTGGTGGCCCCTCTAGACATGATATCCCTCTAGATTTCAGCCGGGGACCAGGGAGAGGAGGATGATAGGAGGGTCTTGGCTGCCTCACAATTTGAGGTACAACTGAGGCCGTAAAGTGTCCTGCTCTGAGTCAGGCCCAAGTTGGGCTGTCCCCACTCCCCTGTTCCCCTTTTCCCCAGCAAGCTCCCTTACCACACTTAGCCCCAGCGCGGTGCTGCCCAGGCCTACAGGTCTCCACCAGCTCTGCTCGCTCCCCAGCTCCTGGGCCCGGCCTGTGGGCCAGTTCATAATCAAGGCCTGCCAGGCGCAGCAGGAAGCGGTCCTGGTTGATGGACTTTCTAAGCATCTTCAGGGACCCTTTCAGCCGCCGTTCCATTCGCTGTCGGAGGCAGGGGAGTCCACAGGTAGCTGGTGGTAGATGATGGTATGAGTCAGGGAAGGAAGAGAAAGTGGCTATGAGCAGGAGGGCAGGGAGCAAAGCTAGGAGCTAGGAGGGGCATAGTAAGAGACTGGCTCCTGAGTTTGGTGTTAGGCGGGGTCTGCCCTTAGTACAGGCGTTGCCCCTTCCTTTTGCTGCTGAGACCTGCAGTTTCCCCACCTCTGACCCCTCGCTTTCCACCCTCCTCCCAGCAGTGCCCCCAGTCCCACCTGTGGTTTCTTCGGCTCTGACCTCTGCCTCCAGTTCCAGGGTGAGCCGAGTGACCTCCTTGCCTGGAGGGGTCCGGGCCCGCCGGCCCTTGCCCTTCCGAGAGGAGTCACACTTGAGGTGGATGAAGGTGACCTGGCAGTCAGAGCAGGGGGCACCACCTGGGGGAGAGGCCTCGTCAACCCCAGGGGCAGAGAAAGTTCCCGCTCCCAGCTCTCACTGTTCCACCCCAAGCCAGCCAGACCTCACCAGATCTCCGCAACTATCTCAGTTCGCTTTTAATGTAGGATACCAATTATTTGGTGGGGGGATATCCCAGGACTTCCTTGGGCCCTGTGCCTGCAAGAGCCTCTTCCCCTGCTCTGTCCAGAGTTCAGGATGCCAGTGGGTATTTTGGAGATCTTGCTAAGCAGAGGAGCGGAGCGGTGGGAAGGGTGTGGTGGCCAGACAACCCAGTGGGGTGGGGGCCCCAGTCCAGACCTTGCCCCAGGATCCTGCTGGCCTCCTCCATTTTGCCTTTGTTTCGTAGGTGCAGGCGGCACTTGGCATCCTTGATCTTGAAGGAGGCCCGCTGTTTAACCGACAGCACTGCAGCCTCTAGAGGGATGGTAGAAGCTCAGCACAGCCTGGGGGCCCAGTGGGGGTGGGAACTGCTGTGGAGGGTATCGAGAAGCTGGGCAATAAGCCAGGGGCTTGGCTGGAGAAGGATTATGAAAGCAAGGGGAGTCAGATGTTAGGGGCAGAGGGAGCAAGGCAGAAAGGCTGAAGAATGACAGAGCAAGGAAGGGGATCCAGGATAAAGTAAGGCCAGAAGAAGCAATGAAGAGAAATAGGGGTTACTAAGCAAGAGAGTAAGGTGGGAACAAGGCCTCTGGGCTGGTGCTCACCATGGCAGTGGTTGGAGTTTGTGCTGTTCCCGGTGTGGCCAGCTCGGGCTGGAGTGGCCCTGGGGCTGGGGGTGCCACAGCTCACCGTGAAGCCATTCTCAGACTCTGAGAGAAGGGGGCTGTCACAGCTCTGACCCGCCCCCCAACACCCACTGGGTGGAGTAATGCAGGGGAAGCAGAAGAGCTCCCTGCACAGCTGGCCTTTCCTCCCTGCCAGCCCTACAGCAACCGCCTCTGTGTACCTGGCGAAAACCGGGCCCGGGAGGGGCAGGTCAGGGCACAGGTGTCCTTCTTGCCAGACCGGTTGCAGCTGAGCATGGCTTTCGAGGCACCAGGACTGCTTTGACATTTTACCGGCTCTAGGAAGGGGAGAGAGACCCAAGGAGGAGAGGGCCTTACTCCCCCACCCTCCTCTGCCATTTGCTCATTTGGGGGAAGAGACTTAGCTGCCTGCAGAACTGTGACTGTAAACCGAGACCGATGAGGGGATTCTTCACCAGAAACTTCATGTCTCTAACTCAAATGACTACATTCTGCTCCCCTACTACTTCCCAGCTTCCTCAGCGTGGAAGGACCCCACTTCCAGGACCCCAATTTCCACCCCCCCAAAAGTGCAGTGCCGGCTCTGGCCAGCAGAGGGTGCTGCCCACCTGTGCAATCTTTGCCGTTCCAGTGCAGCCGGCCCTGGCCGGCGGGACAGGTACACTGGTAGCTGCCCGGAGTGTTGATGCAGCCGAATCGGCAACCTCCGCGGTTGATGCTGCACTCATCCACATCTGGGGGAAGGAGTAGGGAGATACCAACAACGGTGGGGGCAGAGTAGGAGCCACGGAGTGGGCAGTGAGTGAGGACCTTTGTTTAGAGTCCCAGGCACTCCGAGACTTGACTGCCGGCGTGAGAAAACTCAAGCCTAGGACCTCCCTCCCTTCTTATCTCTGCCCCCAGCCAAAGAACCGACTGAAAAGGGGCCTGGCTGACAAGGTTTTTAAAGCCTTCCACTCCTTCCTGCCACTGGGGCTGTAATTTGGAAGTTGCGGATGGGAGTCAAGAGGCAGCGATGGAATGGGAGATGGAAATTATGCAAGCAGAATGCTGTTCCCCGATCTCGTCTCCTAGTTGTCTTAATATCTCCCAGGTCATCATGACGGATGCAGACATGGCACATGCACCTGGGGACTGACTGCCCATAGCCACAAGCCAACTCAGGAACTTGTTCAGGGTGTGGAGGTGAGAGGGGCCAGGAGGCGGAGGGTCTGAATTTGCTGGCTTACCCCCACAGTGGGTGACACCATACAGCAGGTAGCCATGATGGCAGAGGCACTGGAAACTTCCTGGTGTGTTGACACATATGTGGTCACAGGTTCGATCAAAAGAACACTCGTCTATATCTGGAAGAACAGGGATGCAAGCCACTGAATCTGTCTTGGGGCACTTGACCCTGGGACCCCTTGCTTAGGTGAAGGACCCACATGAGGGGCCTTGACCCTCCCTCATGGCCCAGCCCTAGGATCAATGATTTAGCAGTGCCTACCCATCCCCTGTGCCCCCTCCACTTGTAGTCTTTAGAGTCGGGAACTGTGAGATCTGGTGCCCGTGGATCAGGACCACCATATGTGGTTAGGCAGGTCAGATCCTGCCAAGGATTTGAATTAGGGAGAAATCCATCCCTCCTCCTTGCCAAGAGCAAGGTAGAGCTGGTCTATCAAGAGGAAGGGGTACGTTTGCTAATTTCAGCATGACACTGCCTATGGAGACTCTCCACAGTGTCCACTGACTTTCTCAGACTCTGGCCCTCTGGCCTCCCTGAAGCTCTCCGACCCCTAGAACCTCTCCCAAGGCTTTCCCCTTGACCCACATCTGCTCACCCTGGCAGTTCCTCTCATTGATGAGAAGCTTATAGCCCTTCTTGCAGCTGCATTCAAAGCTGCCCACTGTGTTGCGGCAAATGTGGTCACAGCCTCCATTGTTCAAGCGGCACTCGTCTATGTCTGGGAAAGCAGGACAAAGTAGAGAGAACCAAAGGTGATACCAAAGCCTGGGGACAACAAATGAGGAGATGACCTCCCTCCCTCCCTCACAGAGAGAGAAAATCAAGCAGAGCCCCGGGCCTGCTGTTCTGACTCCTCTCTCACTCTCTAGTCTCTGTTTCTTCCCTGTTCATGGGATCTGTGGTCATTAGGAACACCTTTCCTGGGACTGAGCCCGGTTAGAAAGGGACAGATGGGAAGCAGAGTCAGGCCCTCAGGGAATTGCCCAGAGTAGGAAGTAGGTAGGCATTTGAACGAGGGGGCTAGTTTCTGTCCTTCATTCCGCGGTGATGGTCCTTCCCCAAAAGGCTGGTGGATAAGGTTTATCCCATGCTGTCCCCTGCCCCTGCCTGGCCTAAGAGCCCTAGGCGATGGTGTGGGGGGTGGCAGAGAGAGGTGAAGATTCAAAGGGGCAGCCCTCAGAGAGGAGGAGCTAGGAGAGAGCCAGGCCCCAGGACCTCCAGGAGAGCCAGTGAGGCTGGGTAGCTGCTGGGGGAGGGGTGGGGGCCAGGCAGGGGGCTGGACTGGGAGAGGTCTGGAGAGGCTCAGGCCTGAGGCGGCTTTCAGCACTAGGAAGGGAAGGGGGGCCCGTGAGCAGCTTCCTTCCTGAGGTCAAGTTCCCCAAGCTGGTGGCAGACAGGACCCAGGCTACTCACCCCTACTTGGGGGAGGGGGCAGAGAGGGCAGTCTTCCACTTCACTCTTAGCATACCTGTCAACAGTCCTTCCCAGCAGGAAACCTCTCAACTCTGGCTGTCTGACCTGCTGCCCCAGCCCTCCCCGTCTCCCCATCCTCTCTGCCAGCTGTTGGGCCAAAAGACACAAAGGAGGAGCTCAGTCCTCTTTCCAGGCCTCCTTGTGACCAGGGGACACAGACCTGATGAATCATCATTTCAGTATGGCTACCCTCCCTTCTTCCTCCCCCACTCCACCTTTCTCCCAGACCTGGCTTATTAAAAGGAAGGGAAATAGGATGGACAATATGGGAAATTATACCATAATAATAGTTAACACAAGACACTTACCATCTGTCAGGTACTGTTCTAAGTACTTTTTATATGATTTCTATATAACTGATCTAATCCTTAGGACAAGCACCATTACTGTGGTGGAACTGAGGCACAGACGCTAAGTAACTTGCCCAGGATCGCAGAGCTGGGATCTGAACCCAGGTAGCCAGGCTCCAGCATCAGGGCTCCCAACGGCCACCAACTTCTCCCTCTGACCAGTGTAGCCTTTCCACTTGGAAAGGTCTGGGGAATGTGGGTTAAGAAGGTTATGGAACACATCTGTGACCCTGTACACACACAGTCAGGGCTCAAATATCCTCCTAGAGCCAGGGACAAATAAGAATGACATGTTCATTAAGCAAGAGGGTTAGGGACCTGTAGGGAGACAGGAATGAGAGTAAGGAAAACAAGGTAAGGTTGGGGCACTAAGGAGCTGGCTGGACTTTCGTGCCCCTTGAACTGAGGTGGGAAAGGCAGACAAGAGACAAGCCTTAGCCATGCCCTCGGTTCTTTCTTATCAGGACAGCCTCCGGGGGTTGAGGAGCTCCCATGATAGGTACTGTATCTCTGGTCCCAACCTCGGCCCCTTACCCCGATGCTCCTGTCCTCTGAGAGCCCTTACCTTTGCAGGTCTTCCTGTCTGGCTGCAGCATGAAGCCCACGGGGCAGCTGCAGTGGACGCCCGTGGCTGCATCGTGGCACTTACTGTCACAGCCCCCGTTGTTGACCGCACAGGTCTCTGTTTAGGAGGGAGGCATGAGGATGGTAATTGGGTTACTGGCTTGGAGGAATCCCAAACTCGAGGGGAGTAGAGAGTGCAGAGGCGCGAGGGAAGAAGGCCTCAGCTGCCTCCCTGTGCTTTTGAAGGAGCATTCAGTGGAGGCTCCCAGCCCCCATCCCCTCACAAGTGCAGCCAAGCAGTCCACTTCCCTGCCCCCTACTTGATTGAAACAAGGTGGACAGCAGTGAGGCAGGTACAAGCCAGAGCTGTCAGGCAGGAATGCGCTGAGGGGGTGGAGGAGGTGGAGCGGGGAGGGTGCAGGGAGGGATGGGAGCTAAGGAAGGGTGGTTCTCAGCCTCCAGGGAAGAAGAAGGGACAGATAGGAGTCTCCTTCTTTTTCCGCCCACTGTCTCTCGGGTGTCAGGGTGGGATAGTCTGGGGAAGAGTGAGCCTAGTGATCCCTAAGACAGCTGAGGGATGGCCGCCAATTCATCTTCCCTTTCCTCCTTGCCCAGCTGTCTTAAAAAAAGATCCCAGTTCCAGGCCTGACTGCTCATCCTCAGAGAAGAGGCACATACTTGGTCATTTCCCAGCCCCTTCCCGGCTACCTCCAACTCCTCCCAAGCCCTCCTTTTAGTTCCAGATGGAGATAAGCTGGCTGTTCTGTTGTTTTCTTTTCCTAATGGAGAGAGACTGGCTAGGTAGGAGATGGGGGGGGTGGCTAGGTAGGAGAAGGACCCAGAGGGTGAGGTAGGGTGTAAGAAGGTGGATGGGAGCCAGAGAACCTCAAAGCTAAGTCTCTTCTCTTGCCCCTTCTTGACTGGTAAGTTCTCTCTTTGCTGAGGGGGTCACAATAGGGGGAGTATGGATGGGTCACTCTCCCTATTTTCTGAATTCAGAGCAGGACATAAACAAGTTTCAACTGCAGCTCAGGAGAGTCAGGTAAGCCCAGGGGAAAACCATCAGTTCAAATAGTGCAAGGCCCTGACCCAGGGACTCTGGAGGAGGCACGGGCCATCCTCTGGGGGGCCTAGAGTTCTCCCATTGGAGAGACAAAATCCCAAGCCCTCTCCTGGGGAAGAAAGGAGAGTGGGTCTCTGAATCAAGGGAACTGAATGAGAAAAGCAGCCGAGAATACTATCATCTTCTCTAATCTTTGACTGCTAAAACCCAGGCCCAACCCTTGTCACCAAGGAGACCACC